ATCACGAATCGAAATTGACAAGACCCATTTGGTTAAAACTAGTACTGTGACCCAAAAAGATCTAATACATACAGAAGTATCTGTGTCTAAAATAATTAGTACTCCGGAAGATGTAGAAACACTGTTAACAAGTTCTGAATCAGGTCAAATTACAACAACTCACGAAACTATAAAGAGAACTTCTAGTAGTGAATCCAAATCTAGCAGTGATGTAAAATCTCCAGTAGATGCCATTGTTAGCAAAAAGGATGAATCCGATGCTTACAAATCATCACCTGTAATACTGAGAAAAGGAGTATCGGCTTCTGACACTAGTAGTAGTAGTTCAAACTTAAAACCTGATAGAAAATCTGGTGTTGAGTTCGAAGCCTATTCCAGTTCAGGAGAGAGTCACTATCACAGTTTTGAAATAGACAGTAGTAAAAGTAGACCATGTTCTTCTGATGTAGAAGGTCTAGTAGCTGCAGGATCTTCGGAGTATGAAAGCGCACTTACGTCACAGGATTACTCTGCTAGATCACACATTACTTCAACAGAATATCAAACAGCAGTCAGCAGTATGAGTTCTAAGGAAAGTATGAAAAGCTTAGACAGTGAAAGCTCAGGTAACTTAGCAAGTGTTGAAGCTTCAGAACATTCAGAAACATTGGTACCATCAACAAGCGATTTAGACGATATATTAGATTCCGTCGATCAACAACTGATTGATGATATAGAGCAAAGTCATGCCTGGACAACACATCCACCAACAATGAGGCAGAGTACCGAAGTGAGTGATTCGGAAATTCTCTCTTACACTGGCGTTGAAGAATCTGTTGATATTTCTGAAGAAGAAGAAATGAAAGTTCCTGATACTCAATCAAAAATGAAAAGATCACATGAAATGACTTTCCAACCAGAACCTAAAGTAATGGTTCCTGACTCTCCTCAAGGTGAAGGAGAAGAAAGACTAGGAACGAGTATTGACGAAGGTAGTTTACTGAGCGTAAGTGTTTCTAGTACATCAAGCACTGGGGCACAAAGAACTGTTATAGAACTTTCTAGAGCTGATTCCGAAAGAGGGAGCTTAACTGTCTCCGGAACTTCTGAACACCTAAGTCTAGACGATGTAGAAAATTTCACTAAAGGGAGTAGAGAAAGTTTAATTATAACTCCAACATCCCATGCAGTGGAACTAAGTACATCTTCAAATCAAGCTCAATCAGATTTATCAACAGAACTTGAGAACAGTATAAAAACAATGGCCGGACAAGTAACTTCAGAAACACATTCACCTATTGAAGAAGTAGCACCGATTAAACCAGAAGAACCTAAGAAGAAAGGACACAGACGAAATGAGAGTTCGTTTGTCAGTTCTATGATCAGTGCCTCCACGAGAGCTGAAGTTGAACGCAAAATTCAGTCAGATCTAGCAGAAAGTGACAAATATACTTCAAAATTAAGCTTTAAAGAAACAAGCAATGATGAGAAAAAAGATATTGATGAAAGTGAACGCGACGAATGCTACGAAACTGAAGCAGATCAAGGTTTTCATAGAGATTTGCGAGAAGGTCGTTATTTCGAAACTGAATCAGATAATGAGCAGGACAATTTAGATATTTCCCGACCACAATCTCATCTGAGTAAATCTGATTCAGAACGTCCTACATCTACAGGATTCAGTGATAGTAGACCTGATTCAGAGTTAGCAGATTTAGTTAAATCTTCCGATATTACAGAAAGCACCGATCCTATTGAGAGACCTGCTTCTCCAGAACCTTTCGATGAACATAAAGATGATACTCCAGAATTCAGTTCTGAAGCACAGGCTAGCGTAGGAGAGCTGGAACAAGAATATTCTTCAGCTATGTTTAGATCACATGAGGCGCATTTAGAAACAAGGAGATCAATTTCTGATATTTGTCCTCCAAAAGATCAGTTAGAAAAACGAGATTCTCATGGAAAATCAAGCACCACTTCCAGTGAAAAGTCTAGTTTCGAGGAAGCTGAAGCAGAAGCTGCTTTTAGCATGGTAGCTCATATTTCTCCAGCTCATAAAATTAAACAAATATGTCCTATTCTTGAGGATGAGGATGCTGAAAAACATGAAATAGAAACTAGAGAAAAAGCTCAAAAAGAATTAGAAGAAAGAAGAGAAAAAATGCTCAAAGATGCCAGTCCTGGTTTTGTTCCAGATATTAAAATAACACAACATATGGCTCCATTAGTAGATAATAGCTTCTGTTATCCAGATTTAGAACTAGAAGCAAAAGAAAAACAAGAGGAAGAAGAAGATTCTCCAGTGGGAGCAGATACACCCCAGACACCTGCTTCAGTATCAAGTAAGAGTTCAGAAGACACTGATCAAGGTAGAGAATATGTTTTGGACCAAACAATTTCAACTATTTCGGAAGAACCGGAAAGCAAAATAATTTCCAGAAGCGAAGGAGCTACAGCTATTGAAACAACAATCAAAGAAGGTTCCGAAAAAGGAACTGACTCTCCTAATAGTGATTCATTCGAAATGTTGGAGAAACCAGATTTAATTGACGATTTTGTAGTAATCGAAGAAGTCGGAAAAGAAGCACATGAATTAGATGCGGAAGGTAAAAGCGTAACAATAGGAAAAACAGCTGGTAAAGAAAAACACGATGTAGAAGTAGAACAATATTTGGCACACTCAGCTCCTACTCCTTTGACAAGAATGACCGACATTAAATACTATCCGGACGGTGGTACATCGTCAAGCGAAGAACTAGCATTCGACTTCGAAGAAAGTCCACCCCAAGATCAAAGTAGTTCTAGCAAATCAGGAACTGTTGATTACGGTGTAGAATACGACAAAGAACTGGAAGCTAACAGAAAATGGATTGAACAACAATTTCAAGGAGATCAAGCGGCTATGAGGGCAGCAGGTTACGGATATGAGATGGAATTTGAACGAGGTCCTTTAGAAGATATAAAAGAAGAAGACATAAATGATTTAGCTGCCTCCAGCTATGGTTCTCAAAGAGATTCAGGTGGCAGTCTAAAAGAGTCTTTCTCAAGCACGCCTGAATATGATGTACTGGCTGGCAAAAAATACTTTTCACGATCTGGTGAACATGATGATATCTCAATGTCAAGTTTACAAGAATTTGAAAATTTAGAACAAGCAATGTCATTAGAAATGCGAAAAATGCACCAAGGATCTCAGGATTCTTCAAGTAATGGTAGCTTTAAGTCTAGATATTTGGCCAGTAAGAGCGGACAAGGTGACGATATATCAGTAAGTTCCCTAAAAGAATTTGAAGGTCTGGAAAAGGCCTGCATTGCTGCGCATAAAATTGAACTAAAAGTTAAAGAAGAAGAAGCTATGTTATCTCAAATTGATGAAGGTCAAGAAAGTATCACATCAGAATCCGAGAGTTGTGAAACTATTTCGGGTACTGAAAAGAAAATTGTAGATACCGACGACGATGAAGACTATGAAAAACGTATGTTCGAAATTGACGAAATTATACGACAAGCACAAACTAACGTCGAGAGATTTATTGACCTTAAAGAACCTGAGAAGACCGAATCACTGGGTCGAGGAGATTCTATAGAAGAAGTTTCCAGAGTACCGGAACTAGATTTAGATGCTCCACTAGTTCGATCTACTGTTAAGGTACAGTGGAAAGAAGGAGATGACGTTATGGTAACTTCGACAGATTCTCTTGATTTAAAACCCGACAAGCCTAGTCATCATGACAGCACAGATAGCTTAGATCAAAAAACTGGTGGAGATGTAATGACTGCTAGTACTGATTCTATTGAATTCCAAGCACAAAAATCCACAAAGGACAATATTATGACAGATAGTATAGAAATTAAACCAGAGGACAAAAGTTATATGGTTTCTAGCGATTCTCTTGAACTGGCCGCTGCAACAAGCTCGGGAAACAACGTACTTTTAACAGATTCTATAGATGAAGATGGATCAAGGATTGGTGGTGTTGGAGATCATAGTAGTTCAAGTACAGGAAAAGATTTTAGTTCCTCTGGCAAAGAGGATGACATTATACAAGATAAAGATGATATGATAGAAAGTATAGGAAGCATTAGCGTAACAAGTTCTACTGCTACACACGCTACTTACCAATACGACACTGATTCTGTCTATTCCGGTAGCTTGACGAGTGGTGGTTCAAACACAATGGTATCCTCCACTAACTCTATTGATCAAGCTAGACAGTCAACTTCTGTAGATGTGTCTGCAGCTGTACGAAAAGTCTGGTTTGATGAAGATCTTAGCGGTCGAAGAACTACCGAGTACGTAGATGATTCCAGACCTTATGTAACAGAACTAATTGAACCGATTGATGATGAGTCGTTTTCGCATATTGTTCACAGACGAATAGACTTACCACCAGAAGTAAAGCGGGTTACTTTTACCGGTACAAGTGCCGAGACCGGGGATCAAATGAGACAATTCATCCAGAATTTTAACGAAGGAGAACAAGTTTATGAAACAGAAGAAGTCGATGAAGCTGGTAATGTACACGTCAAAAGAGTTGTCCAAAAGAAATTTATAGTAAGAGACGACGGTTCTGACCAACCTTTATCAGGACCAGAAATCGAAGAATACTTCCGAAGACTGAATCAACCCGAATTTATTCAAGGTCAGGGTGTTGTCACCAGGACAACAGAAGCCAGAGGGGGAGTAATCACGAAAACTTTCTCAGATGGACATGGAAGAACAACTACGACGCAACCATACGACACGGCTTCTTCTTCTTCTTCCCAACTAACATCACTAACAAGAACAGGTTTGTTGATTCGAATCCTCCAAACCGAAGTAGATCAGTTTGTTTTTGTTTTATTTCAGCTTATTATTTCAACATTTGATTTAGGTTTATGTTATAGTTGCCCTCTTTCATTTTTGGTAAGTTATATTTATTTTGCATGAGGTTCATTTATCTTTCTGCATGTCTTGGTGAGTAAGTTCACACCTTTTTAATGTTTGGTTTACTTTATATTAATAGTTTATTATTATTTAGGTGGCGATATTACTTCAACGTCATCTTCCACTCGAGAAACTGCAACAACATCATCATCTAGACGTAAGTAAATTAGTTTTTTTACTAATAATTATTGATGTATTAAAGAATGCTGAGAGATATTATTTGTTTCAGTGGATTTATTTGATGTCTCGACAAAGGGCTTATCTTCCATATTTTTTAGAGTAAGAATCTCTTGTCAAAGAATTTTAGAATAAATATGTAATGAAGTGATCGTTGTACTATTCTTCTTCTTCTCATGACGCCGTCTCCTTTCGAAGGTTGGCGATCCAAATGGCAACTGTAGTTTTGAAAACTGATGGTCAAACCATCTCCTCAGCTGTTTCAGCCATGAGTTCTGGCGTCTTTCTACCGATATTTTGCCCTGTAGTTTTCCTTCCAGTATAGCTTGAAGTAATTCATATCTTTCGCCTCTCAACACATGACCCAGGTATTGCATTCTCCTCTCTTTGATTATTGTTAGCAATTCTTCTGTTTACATATTCGACGAAGCACCTCAACATTAGTAACTCTTTAACTCTTTGTTGTAGTATGCCTTAGCCTTAATACTTATTCCAGCCTTTTCAAAATGTTCAGCATTTGGTGATACCCAAAAAAATCAGGATGTTCTTATTCAAAGAAACTTCTTGAAAGCACCGATGCTACCTCTGTCACGTGTCAAGACTCGGATATATTTATGAAATCTACTGATATATTCAGAACTGTCTGACTGACCTGATAGTAACTATGGTTGGTCCTTAATTTTTTTCCAATTTAGTTACCTTATTCTTGCAATTGCTGATCTCTAGTTTATTGCTTTAGTATATTCGCAGTATTTGTTATCTTAGGCCACAAGTGCCCAAATAGACTTACAATGTATGATTGGATTTTTTTCAAATTTTTATGGATGTTGTTTATCTTTCCTTTTACCACAGTTTGTCTGTTTTCAGATTTGAAATATTCTGATATTTTCTCTTCTCTTCTAATAGTTTCAATACTTAGATATTTTCCTACGAGATAAAGTACTTATTGGAATAATTATATGATTGTGTATGTAAAATATTTCTTGAAGGAAAGCCTTTCGTCGAAAGTTGTTATATTAACGAAGAACCCTGAATTTTGTGTAACATTAATACCTAATTACAAATTGCTTACTAGAACCAACTATAATTATTAATAATAATATATCTGTAATGTTATCACGTTGTTTCCAGTGGCGTGTCCAAATAAATTAAGTTGGTATGCAATTATAACAATTAACATTTTAATGTTTCTTCATCTCTCATACTTGGTACGCCACTGTGTGCATATTAAATGTACATTATTTGTATACCTTTTTATTTGAACGAACCAATAAAAGAAGTAACCTCCATGGTGTATCATTTAAAATAAAAATGTATAAAAAATACTTTAAATGATGAATTGTTTACAATGTAAGTCCAATTTCAAAATAAAAATGACTGCCAAACCAAATTTCGAACTTAATTTCAAGTACAGCGTTCCCATTATAGGGGACCCCCACTACTCGTGTATTTGGCGAGTATAGGTTATTCCACGAATATAATACGACTGTTGGGGATGATTGCGACAACGAATATTTTACTGTGCAAGTAGAAGTATGAAAGTAAATTGGTCTAATTATTATTCCAATAAAAAGGATCTACTGTTAGTATGACATTTGAACTAAAATTATTTCAGTTAATAGATGTTCAGATAGACGCAAAATTTATTGTGAAATTTAATTCGAAAATAACAAAAATTTTTACGCAAACGCTCATTTTTACGAAAATGTGTTCATCAGACATTTGAGTAAGATTTCGGTGAAATGTAAACAACTAAGAGGCGTGCCGGATTTCTTTGATATTACACTATTTTATTACTTTATTAGGCACTACAACTGTAATAAAAATAAATATACTATTTTTAATATAAATGAAAAGAAATTGGCAGAACGATGGTTCAGAAACCAGAAAAAGAATCTATATAATATTTCTATTTGTTAGTTTTAAATATTTGTTTGCTTTGTAGTCTATATTTAAACTAAAGTCGGTATTGCAAAAAGCAAAAAAAAGTTTACAAAGTGAACAAAATGTCGCACAATATAAATCTCGTCAACCAAAGGCTATAGATCTTCCCGAAGGTTGCAAATTTGAAATCCGTGAGACAATATATAAAATGCGCGAAAAGAAAGAACATGTTTCTTTAGATTCAGTGCTACAAAAATTAAAAGACAGAAATATATTTGAAATTTCCAGAACACGTCTCTGGACAGTTCTAAGACAGATTGGCTTTAAGTTCAAAAAATAATTCAACAGAAAGACTTTGTGTAAAAGAGCTAGTGTCATTCACAAAAGAATAGAATTTTTAATAAATTATAACAAATTTAAAAAAGAATGTTCTTCCTTAGTTTATTTAGACGAAAAATGGATTTTTGCTAAAGGCGGTATCAAAAGAATTTGGCAGGACGAGAGTATAAAATCCATTAAACACATCAATAACGAGGGAAAGAGATATATTGTAGTGCATGCAGATGAAAAACATGGTTTTATTGAGAGAGCAGATTTTGTGTTTTCATCAAAATCAAAATCAGCCGATTATCATGACAATATGAATACGGAGATGTTTGTGAAATGGTTGAAAGAGAAACTGTTGCCAAGTTTACATGAACCATCCGTTATAGTACTGGATAATGCTGCGAACCATTCGGAAATTTTAAATAAGCAACCAACAAACACCTGGACCGTAGATAAACTAAAAGAATGGTTAATGAATAAAAATATTACATTTCCTTAATACTGTTATTAGCCTCAATTACTAACGTTAGCTAAAAATCATGCACAACCAAACATATATAGTAGACGAAATTACGCATAGCTTTGGACATCGTGTGTTAAGACTACCGCCCTATCATTGCCAATTTAATCCAATTGAATATATTTGGGGAATATGCAACACATATTTTGATAACCATATTGAATACAAGGGTTACAGTGACGAGGCAGTCTTGGAAACATGGCAACTAGCACTGGATATTGCCACTCCTGAAATTTGGGGAAAAAGTGTAAAAAAATGTGAAGACTTAAAAGAATGGCGGATCCGAAGGTCGCATCGAAGCAGTTAATCCTGTTATAATTTACCATCCGAATGAGGATAGCGACGACAGTGATTATGGCTGTGAATCTGATGGTTAATGATAGTTTTAGGAGATTAGGAGAATAAGAGAATAAGTAAGTTTTTCTGTTTTTTAATACTAATTGAATATTCGACTAAATAAAGTACACTATTTAATCACTTTAGTATTGTATTGTTACACTTCGTTTAAATCAGTTATTTAAAAACCAACTTGTTTACAATACTAAACTCAATGATAGTAATTATATAATTCAAAAGCTGAATTAGAACTGTTCTATAAACTGTCAACTCTATATAATTTATACCATGAATTCATATTTAAATCTAAGTTTTATATCTGCCATAACAGTATTTTAAAAATGAGGAGAATTTACTATTGTACAATTCAGCATATTGGACCATTTAAGTCGATACCTTAAACCGAATTTAAAACAGTCGTATATTCGTGGAATGGAGTATACGCCAATATTTGCGTGCTTGATAAATACAAAATATTTCGAACTTAATTTCAAGCACAGTGCTCCCATTACTCCTTTTCTTTGACGATTACGCCAATACAGGGGTACTTGGCAAGTACAGTAAAACGATAGAATTAACAAAATTAAAAACACACACTAGTCTCGCGCTACTGTAATTAAAGACAGAGTACTGCAGAAATTAACTGCGACCAAGTCGGCAAGTATTGGGAGCGCATTGACAAGTATGAACTTGTCAAATATTCAAATAATTGAAATCCCTTTGACTCGCGGCATTTTTACCGATCACCTATTAGACTTCTCATATAGCAAATAATTGTACAAGTAGTGGCCGAGTGAGCCACTCTTACTACATGGCAAATATAGGTAGGTGACAAATATGTGATGGAGGCAATACATGGAAGAATTATTCAAGGAAGAAAAAGAGGCAAAAGTCAGTGTTTCTGGATGTTTAAGACCAGGAATAACGCTCAGTGAAGTAACATATGCAATAAAAAGACTAAAAACCAACAAAGCATCTGGACCTGATAACAAACAAGCTGAAATATTGAAACTATTTGAAAACAACCAACTCAAAAAAACCCTTAAACCCTTGACAAAAAAGACTTAAGAGTAATAACTCATCTCTACTTTAACCAAACAGCAAAAGTCAGAGTCTGTAGAGAACTTTCGGAGGTAGTAGAGATAAAAAGAGGCGTAAGGCAAGGTTGCATACTCTCCCCCTTATTGTTCAATCTATATTCGGAAGAAATAATTAAAAAATCACTCGAAAATGTAACAATTGGAATAAAAGTCAACGGCAGACCTACCAACATTATCAGATATGCCGATGATACTATACTAATTGCAGAGAATATACAAGATCTACAGACACTTTTAGATAATGTAGTAAATGCTGGTGAGGAAAGCGGACTAACGCTTAATGGTAATAAAACAAAATTTATGGCAATTTCCAAAACACAACAACAAGACATTTTAAACATAAGAGGAGTTCCAATAGAAAAAGTAAAAAAATACAGAAATCTTGGTACAATTATTAATGAAAATACCGACTATACAGAAGAAATAAAAATAAGAACTGGACAAGCGGGAGCAACATTTAATAAGCTGAAAAAAGTATTATGCAGTAGAGACCTTAGTTTACAACTCAAAATAAGAATATTGCGTTCTTATGTGTTTTCGGTGCTGCTGTATGGGGTGGAGGTCTGGACCTTAAAGAAAGAGGTTAGCGATCGACTTGAAGCATTCGAGATGTGGACCTACCGAAGAATGTTAAAAATAAGTTCTTCTTCTTCTGGTTCCTATCCATTTCGGATGTTGGAAATCATATTGGCAATCATAACCTTGCTCGCTGCGGCTCGAAACAGCTCCGTTGAGGTTTTCTTAAACCATGTTCTTAAATTCCGCAGTCATGATATTCTCCTTCTACCGGGTCCCCGCTTACCTTTGACTTTA